TGGACATGTCACCCTCGCATGCGAGCCTACATGGTGCCCCTCTTGTGATTCGTCCGAAGGATGGTCCAGTAGAAATCCGATGCGTGTCGCATATGTGGAGGTGTCCGAAGCGAGACACGTCTCGCCTACCAGCCTCCGACGCGCCCTTCGCATCCGAGCCTCGCACGAGCAGTGTGGCCTTCGCACCTGCTGCCACCTACCTTCGTTGCTGCCACGTGCTTCACCCCCTCGCTGCCGCGTGTCCCTTCTTGACTGAAGCTCCGAATCTTCCCCCTATAAATAGAAGGGTGCAAACCTTCCCGAGTAACTTTGGAAAATTGCCATTTTTCACCCCTAAACTTATATTTTGACTATTTTGACTTCCCCCGAAGCCCGGGTATCATTTCCAACACCCGAGACACGTCCCAAAGTGCCCGAAGACCCGGAAAATTTTCTCTTTTCGGTTTTGAAGCTTTGACCCTTGTAGAGCCCTGTTTCTCAATAAAACTCCCAATTTTATCAGAAACGATCATTTTAAGAAACGAAGTGTTGCCCAATTATCATCAAATCAAGTGAGTGTATAGTCACTTTCATCTTACACATAGATATGAAGTATTTTATATAAATATGTGCTATGTGTATATATATTGATTGTTTATTTGAGATGGTTGTTGCATAAATGTTTATACAAGTTCTAAAATAATTTAAACTGTGTGTGTGTGTGTATATATATATATATATATATATTATCTACGAGTATGTTGGGTATAACATGGGTAGATGAAATAGTTGGTGTGTGATAAATTGATGAGAGACCTCGATGTTGTTGTTGTTCCAGTTATCTAGTGGAGTACGGATAACGACCACAGACTCTTCTAGACAGTCCAGTGGAACGCTAGCAGGCTCGCAACCTGTAGGTGTTTGTGGACTTGATGTTCACCGGTGTACTCCATCCCCCTCATGGTTGCCTTTACGACATATATGGGTGAAGAATCCCCTTAGTAGTAAAGTCCATCCCGATGATAAAATCCTTAGACTAGGTCCCTTGTATAGGTCTTTAGGGACGTAAAGTGAGGATAATGGGAATGGGTAATCAAGGTTATTGTTGGTTTGATGAAATTAATAAATTTATTGTTGATCGATGAAATTAATAAATTTATTATTATTTGTGGGTTAAAAACCCTATATGCTCACCAGGCTCCCAAGTCTGACCCACTCAGCTTTCTGTTTTACAGGTAGTGGACCCAAAGCATAATTCGGATGATGATGAGGGATTTTTGGATTATAGGCCAGTAGTTGTAAATAACTGTTGTAAGGCTTATAATGTACTATTTATGCTTTTGATCTATATCGAACATGACATCCCGAGTCTTTTTAATGAAATACATTTCTACAGAAATGCTTTGAAAAATCTTTATCATATTTTATTTTGGGAACAAATTCAGCAACACTTTTAATCAAAGGATCACTCTAATTTTATTATAAAAGAATAAACTAAATCGGTCTTTTCTGGTCGTGAAATTGGGGATGTCACAATCACGGACACAAATAAGTGTGATATAAGACACCACACCATTTTTATTCTTTGATCTTCTCATCATGATGACATAACCAAGAGATAATGCAATGTTTTGCACCCATTTCATGAACTCATCACAAGAATCAAACACTTATTTAGAAAAAAAAAGTTTGTTAAGAAATTGTAACACAATGATAAAAAAAAAATATCAATATGATGATAAATACAATACCTACTTGGTAGAAAACGATGATGTCGCCGTCATGTTCTCAATGTCTTCATTTGAATTATTTCCATTCAGACCTATGTTGCTCATCAGACCTATGCTCTCCTCGACCACTGTCACCATCTCTTTCCTTCGTCATCTCCTCCAATTCTTCCATCACACAGAGTACTTCAACGAACCCATAGCTGCTGCCATCGCATATGGTCTTGACAAGAATGGAGGTGAGATGAAAATTCTGGTATTCGACCATGGCGGTGGAACTTTTGATTTCAACATTTTTACAATCGAAAATGTCATTATACTTGTTAAGGCCGCTGTCGTACACGATTTTAAACAAATAAAAATATAAAATAAACTACTCTATTGCACTAACAGGTAGTAAACGTAAGCAGAGTCGCATCCTCAGGGACACGTCCTGACGTTTATACCTCTTTGCACAAGGTATGAACTAATTCTTGATAAACGCCAAAACGTAAAAAAAGGGGATTTTATTCTGAAAATTAGACTAATAGAAATTGAAAATGACAAGAAAATGACTAAATGTAAAGTTATGAAAATTCAAATAAGAGAAAGAAAATCCAGTTTCGCGATAACTCCCCTAATCATATAATTAACCTTCAACACAATATTTGACTATGCACTTGTTTAAACTGGTACTAAGTTTCATTAACAAGCTCTAATGACCTTTATTACAAAAATCATTTAATCAAAATAAGCTCTTTAAATTAAATCTAACTTTTTACTAAATTAACCAAACAAGCTCTTGATCAACAAAGAAAAGTTGCATTAGACACAGTGTAATTTCCCAGTAAAGTTTAATACCTCTCATAAGCTCGGGGGCGTTAAAACTTCTTTGATCAATCCATATTAGACTTAACACTAATTTCAGAATTAATCCAATATATGTCACTTTTTACTAATTAATCTAGAAAATTACGGATCTAAACAATTAGATGACTAGAATGATTCACAAACAATTTAAGTGGCCACTAGAAACTGAAATCAAAATCAAACATTCGATTTAACACAGAATTGATCAAACTAAACAGTAATCATAGTCAAACATAGTGCTTAATGACTAATCATAGGAAGATGTCACATCTTGTGAAACTGAAATCTAAGTTTTTAGCCTAACATGGCTAAAAACATATTACAAACAGTGAAAATAGAACCTAAACGATAAATCTTACTAAACTATGAATTGGAATCAAATCAACTCCTTCAGATCTATGCTCTTCACTTGAAAACCTCTGAAAATCACATCTGAATCACCAGGAATCACCAATTAGAGTTACTAGAAGGGTATGGGGTTATTTTATACGTATAACTATCAAATAACCGAACCTGTGATTGCAAGGGGGTACATGCGATCGCATGTATCACCCACAATCTTGTCACGCGATTTTTTTAATGAAGTACGTTGCTATTTTGGCACAAATTTACCAACCTACAATCGCAAAAGCACAACCTGCGATCGCAGGTTCCTCTTTTTCCTTGGCTGATGATTTTTTTGGCTCGACAAATCCTCGTAAGCAACCTGCAATCCCAAAGAGAACCTGCGATCGGAAGAACACAACCTGCGATCGCTAGCTGCTTCTTCTGGCTCTTTTGGTCGTCGTTCCTCCTTCCAATCAGTCCCTGATCATTTCCTGGCATCCCTTCTCAGTCTAGACTCCAATTTAGCTCCAAAGCATTGACAAATGCATCCCGAACTTGCGCAATCATCCATGTGCTCCAAATGGCCCTGAAATGTCATAACAAACGTGAGTAGTACGGGCATTCTACAAAATAATCATGAAACACGAAATACATAAGAATAATCGGGAATTAGTTAGCTTTTATAATGAAATACGTAGGAAATTGTGCTAAAAGATGCATATAAAATGCATCTAACAAACCTCCCCAAGCTTAGACCTTACTTGCCCTCAAGTACGAAAACGATAACTTTGGAAATGGAATTGGGGCTAAACGCAACAACAGGACAACCTAGACACACATCAACTAAAAGAAACAAAAACCTAAACAATAAAAACAACCAAAGCTAAATATAAAACATATGCATGTAAAGATAAAGAAATGAATAATGAACTAAAATAGAATGCAAATAAGGAATGATCAATTAAAATACAACATGTTCTTTTTTTTTCCTTTTTCTCTTTTATATAATTATTTTTTACGATCAGACTTTACATCGATAATGGGCTCCAATCATTAACACCAAAGCAACCATCCTGCTATCTTTCATGTATCACAGATTCCCAAAGTAAGGAAGACCACAAACGGTGTAACCCAATAGTCCAACTCGAGTTTTATTTAAACTTTGTACCTTAATTAGCTTTATGAGCAAAAATTACATAGTCCGGATCTCATGTCCTTAAGACTAGATGGCCAAGAATCAGAATCGACGCATCCTTAAGAACCCGCACGACCAAATCAGCTTTCATCGAAGCAGCAAGGACCAACTCCCGTAGGAGCCCGAGCTCTATGATTTCGCTTTTTCGAGAGCCACAAGTATCATATCACACAGTTCTTTATTCGCCATATATAACTTTGGAACGACTTTAACTTGATTGAACTTTGATTTGTACTTTGTTTTGAGCTTGATTTCTTCAATCTTTTTTTTTGGGGGAATTTCTTGAAGTTTCTTCAATTGAGTGCTTGATATTCTTTGATTTGAGTATTAGATATAACGTTGTACCCTTTCTTCATTTTGACTGTGTGGGTCTGATACTTAAGGTCTCTGTTACCGCGAAGGAAACGCGTGTCAACAAATAGGGTATGTAGGTTCAGAGTTGCCAATAAAGATTCTTTTAAAACATTAATAAGCAACTCATCCTAGAGCTGTTATTACCACCCAAAAAACGTTTCAGTACGCTATTTTTTTATTATCTAAGGCTGGGGTCTCGAATCACGGTGTTTGGATCCCCTGTTTATGACAGCTGATTCCACACTTCCAACAACAATCGGATTGCTTCATATTTTTTTCATTTATAATTCTCAATATCCCACTTCATGGAGCTATCGTATGTAGAGAGTGTCATCATCTCGTAAAAAATTTTTAATTTTTTTTAAATGCAAGAAAATGAAAATATTTTAGAAAACTAGAAAGAAATAAAATGACAAATAAAAGAAAACATAAATGAAAAATCTTTTTGGATTTTTTTCAATTAGAAAAAAAAAATAAAATAAAAACATTTTACAAAAAAGATAAGAAATCCCCTCCCCAAGCTTAAAATTAAGCATTGCCCTCAATGCATAAGGAGGAGTGAAAGACGACTAGTTGGAAGGGGGTGCATAGCGACGGAAGAAATCGTCGCGGAAAGTGTCGAAATCGTCACGCAAACCTAAGAGCTCATCACGATAATCTGTAACCTGAGAGCTATAAAGCTGATAATCTAAGCGGAGACCAGTCATAGTCTGCTGAAGAGAAGCCATATCCTGACGGAGGTCAAGATAATGCTAGTAAGTGAAGGGGTAGTCGGGGTCTGGGTGTGATGGCCTTGTGGGTGGGGGCTGATCCTAAAAGTCAGTCTGCATGGGATCAGGCTGCCTAAAGGAAACAGGTGTTGCGTCTGCGTAGTCTGGATGCTGAGTGGACGAAGATGGTCAATCAGATGGTGGTTGTCTGACTTGTTGTGCCCTGCGTGGGCGAGGAGGTGGTGGGATGTTCGATGGGAGAACCTGCATAGTGTTGCTAATGGGGTCTGCTAGGTCGATGACATCAGGGCCAATGACCTTGAAATAAGTGGAGCGACCCCGCATACAAACATACCCACCCGGGGTAGTACGAAGCATGTCCATAACCCGAAGGGTCTGCAGGGTCAAACGGAAGGAATCAGCCGAAAAGAAAGTGTACCCGGGAGGAGATTGCTCCGTGAGGGAGCGAGCAATGACAGTAATTAGACCACCATAGCGAATGGCACCGCAATTGCGAATGCCGATAACTCTATGAAACCATTTAATGATAATATCACCAAAATACGGGCAGTGTGAACCGATAATCATGCACCACAAAAGAAAAAGCTTAGCTTTTCTGGCGTTCGTAGTCTCAATCTGTGCATAGATAATATTGTATATAATTTTCAATGAAATTTTGAGAACAGGGTGCACGATGCTCCTGAATCATAAGACTCCAAACCGGTAATGGAGTACCAAAACTCGCGTACGTCAAAAGCGGGGGTGAGCTTGGATAAACTAGTGATGGGGGTATGAAAGATAGTACATAACTGGTCTACGTGAAGAGTGTGAGGGGTGCTAAAAATGTGAAAAGCGAAGTTTCACTCATGGTTTACCTCAATCAAGGTAGCTAAAAACTCTCGGGTCACTAAGGGACAAGTGGCAAAGTCCGCAGATAATAGGCGCTCCCAACCAATATTGGCAAAAAGAGCGTGAACACCATCATAAATATGGAGTTCCCGCATAAAGTGTGTGGATAGGGGCCCAAGTTGGTGGCATAATCTCACGGTCAACAAGCCGCTAGTAACAGTCAAGTGTAGCCTGTGAACCTAAATCCACAGTGACATTGTCCACCAGGACAATGTATGGTGACTCTGGAGCGTCACCCTGTCTATGTGAACGAGATGATCTAAGGGGCATATTTTTTTAGTTTTAAAGCAGGACAAGGAAGGCACAATTTCCAGGTAATAGAAAATAGTAATCAAACAAAAGAAATTATCTCTAACTACTCTCAAGCGGATACGCAAGCCCACACAAATATGTAACAAAAACAAAAATTCAGTTTCAGAATGAAGATACCTTACTGTGTGCTAAGCTGTAGTATATTTTTTGTGCCGAAATTTTTTTTTGACTTTTGAAAATCCGTTCGGATGAATCTCTTCTGAATTGTGTCATTAGAAAACGTTTCTACTTTATATGGCTTGTAGATGACTAACAGGACGTAGATGTGAAAAAGAAACTCACAAAAATTTAAATTTCAAAATAAACAAAATGAGAGTTTTGGAGAATTTCAACCGTGAAATCATGATTTTCTTACTGTATACATGTTGTAGGAGTAAAATAGAAGAGATTGATACCTTATTTGTGTGATTTTGACGAAAAACAAGCGATTTGGTGAAAAAAACTCGAAATGCAATGAATTTCAGAGAGAATTTTTGGAGTGTAGTGGTTAAAAATGAAGCTGTAATCGGTATATATACACATAGACATAACCTGCGACCGCAACGAGGGTACCTGCGATCACAGGTTTGACTTTTTGACTCAATGGCACGTTTTTCGAGGCAAAGCAACGATCATATAAAATTAAATGCATACCTGCGATCGCAAGGGGGGTACCTGCGATCGCAGGTTTGACTTTTTGACTGAATGACACGATTTTCGAGGCAAGGCTACGGATATACTAAAATAAATGGTTACCTGCGACTGGAGGTTTTGTAAAATGGCTAAAAATCAAATTTTTTTTCTTTCAAAAGTGAGATGGAACAAAAACAAGATACATGCGATCGCAGGTTGTCTATTTTCTTGAAAAAAATGCCCCAAAAAAACCTGATGACGTGATGCGAGCACAAAATGCCTAACCTGCGATGGCAAAGACTGGTCTTGCGGTCGTAGGTTCCACCAAAATTCTATTTTTCAACTTTTTTCAAATTCTCTCTGTTACTTTTTATTTTAAAAACATGATTCAGTTAAAAAGGAACGACCTAAGTAGCTAAAACACACAAAATAATAATAATAATAATAATAATAATAATAATAATAATAATAATAATAATAATAAATAAATAAATAAATAAATAAATAAATAAAAAGAAGTTTGTAAAAATGAAAACCAAAACAAATGCCCGGGTTGCCTCCCGGTAAGTTGCCCATTTTTATTGTCGTTGGCTCGACATTGTTACTTGGGTTCCTCAATTGCAGTAAGTCAGGACCTCGGCGACCTCCACTTCTTCATTTGTAACATGAAACCCTTCGTAAAATGGTTTGAGACGGTGACCATTTACCTTAAAAATCTTTCTTGTTTGTTCACTCTTAATTTCTAGAGCACCATGATCAAACACGTTAGTAACAACAAAAGGTCCCACCCAACGAGACCTCAATTTACCGGATATAAGTTTGAAACGAGAGTGATATAAGAGTACCTTTTGACTGGTAATGAATACCTTTCGCGAGATCATCTTGTCATGAAACGCTTTCGTCTTGTCCTTGTAAATTGCTTCGTTCTCGTAGGCATCATTCCTAATTTCTTCTAACTCTTGGATATCCAATCTTGTTTTCTTACTAGCTTCATCCATGCTCATGTTTAACTTTTTGACAGCCCAATAAGCTCGATGCTCTAATTCAATCGGTAATCAGCAAGGTTTACTGAAAACAATTCTATATGGTGACATACCAATAGAAGTTTTGTATGTTGTCCGGTGAGCCCATAACGCATCATCCAATTGAATACTCCAATCTTTCTTGACTGGATTGATAGTTTTCTCTATAATTCCCTTGATCTGTCTGTTTGAAGCTTCAGCCTACCCATTCGTTTGCAAGTGATATGTTGTAGATACACGATGTGTGACACCATATTTCTTGAGGACTGCTTCGAGGGTACGGTTGCAGAAATGTGTGCCCCGATCACTAATAATAGCCTTTGGTGTCCCAAATCTAGCGAATATATTTGTCTTGACAAAATCAACCACAACCCTAGCATCATCTGTTCGGGTAGCTTTTGCCTCGACCTATTTGGATACATAATCCACAGCAAGTAAGATGTATACAAACCCGAAAGAAGGCGGAAATGGACCCATGAAATCTATACCCCAAACGTCAAAAATTTCACATACCAAGATCGGAGTAAGTGGCATTTAATTATGAGATGTCAAAGACCTAGTCATTTAACATCTTTCACAGGTTTTGCAAAATAGAAAAGAGTCACGAAAAATATGCGGCCAATAAAGACCGTTGTCCAAGACCTTGCGTGCGGTACGTTGTGGACCATAATGCCCTCCACAAGCTTCTAAATGGCAGAAATTCAGGATTGACTTGACTTCATCTTGAGGTGCACATCTTCTAATCACCTGATCAGCATAGTGTTTCCATAGATATGGTTCGCCCCAAACATATCTTTTCGCCTCCTTCTTTATTTTATCTTTCTGGGCCCAGGTGAGATCTGGAGGGAGTTCTCTGGAGACCAAGTAGTTCACAATATCAACAAACCAAGGAGGGTTCTGAACAGCGAATAGATGCTCGTCAGGAAATGTTTCGCGGATGGGTTTCGGGTCTTCAGGTGGGTTGAGTCGGCTCAAATGATCAGCTACCAAATTTTCTCTCCCACTTTTGTCCCTAATCTCTATATCGAATTTCTGTAGCAGCAAAATCCATCTAATCAACCTGGGCTTTGAGTCTTTTTGGCAAGAAGGTACCGAATGGTTGTGTGATCTGAAAAGATTATGACTTTCTGGCCCAACAAATACAGTCTGAATTTTTCCAATGTAAAAACAATTGATAGCAACTCTTTTTCAGTGGTGGAGTAATTTGCTTGGGTTCTATCCAAAGTCTTTGATGCATAATATATAACGTGTGGAGCCTGGTCTTTTCTTTGCCCTAGAACAACTCCAACAGCAGTGTTACTAGTGTCACACATTATCTCAAATGGTAAACTCTAATCTGGGGGTTGGATGATGGGGGCATAAGTAAGAAGATTTTTCAATACATCAAAAGCTTTCTTGCAATCTTCATTGAACTCAAATTCAGTGTCTTTTTGCAACAGGTGGCACATGGGAACTGATATCTTTGAAAAATCTTTTATATACCTCCTGTAAAACCCTACATGTCCAAGCAAGGAACGCACTTCCCAAACATTCTTCGGGTAGGGTAAGCTCTTTATAACATCTATTTTTGCTTTATTGACTTCCAAACCTCATTTTGAAACAATATTCCTAAGAATCGGATCTTGGTCAACCAGAATGTGACATTTTTCAAAATTTAAGGCCAGGTCTATTTCTATACATCTTTGTAAAAATTTTGTGAGGTTTTTTAAACAAATATCAAAGGATTCTCCATAAACGGTAAAATCATCCATGAAGACTTCTATGGTATTTTCGACATACTCAGAAAATATACTAACCATACACCTTTGAAAGGTGGTGGGTGCGTTGCAGAGTCCGAATGGCATATACCTATACGTGAATGTCCCGAAAGGCAGGTGAAAGCCGTTTTCTCCTGGTCTTCTGGAGAAACTAGAATCTGGTGGTAACCTAAAAATCCATCCAAGCAGCAGTAGTGGGATTTTCCAGCAAGCCTCTCTAGCATCTGATCTATGAATGGGGGAGCAAAATGATCTTTCCGGGTGGTTGCGTTTAATATTATGTACTCTATACACAGGCGCCATCCGTTCTGAACCCGAGTTGGAACCAACTCTCCTTCTTTGTTCTCTACCACTGTCACCCCGACCTTCTTGGGAAAAACTTGAACTAGGCTGACCCACTTGCTTTTAGAAATTGGGTATATCATCCTAGCATCCAATAACTTTATAACTCCTTTTTTAACCACCTCCGTCATTGGTGGGTTTAATTTGGGTTCGGCCTCTCGTGATGGCTTACAATATTCTTCCATTAGAATTTTGTGCATGCATAGAGATGGGTTGAGTCCTTTAATGTCTACAATAGTCCATCCAATTGCACTTATATACTCCTTTAGAATTCTGATCAGCTCTAACTCTTCTTTTTCTAACAACTTGTTGGATATGATAATCGTTAATGTTTCTTTTTCCCCAATATATGCATATTTCAGGTGTTCTGGAAGTGTCTTTAGCTCCAAGATGGGGGCTTGCACTACAAAAGGAAAAAAGCTTGGAGTTAGAAATTGGTAATTTAAGAGTTTGGGTACCATACCTCACCTTTCTCTGCTGGTCCATATGAGCTGCCATCTCTTGAACTTCTCTATCAACCACATAATTTTCGAATATAACCTGAGTTGCATTAATAGACAAATTTCTGTGGAGCACTAATGCTAGTGACTCACGGTTAGCGATCTCAAAATATTCTGCAGATAATGGTTTAATTACATGAATGAAATTAAGGGATGAAACATCATCTAGATAACGCATGGCATCATAAATATTGAAGTTGATAACTTCACCATCAAATTCCATTGAAAGGGTACCATGATAAACATCTATTTTGGTTCTGGCAGTTTTTAAAAATGGTCTCCCCAAAAGAATGGAACCTGAGTTTGGTGAGTCGTCATCTACCATATACAAAACAGAGAAATCAGCTGGGAATATGAGTTCATTCACTTGAACCAAAACGTCTTCCAGTACACCTTTCGGGTGCACTAGAGAACGATCAGCTAACTGGATGATAACTCTTGTTCTTTTTAAAGGCCCTACCCCGATAGTTTTAAAAAGTGAATATGGTAAAACATTTATAGAAACCCCTAAGTCCAACATAGCTCTTGGCACTGAAAGGTTCCCCAACTT